CGTCGGTTGTAATTAAAGGTCCGTCGATCAGGTCGCGCAGCAACCCAGAATTCGCCTGGGCTCTTTCATTATATCAGCTGACACGCCGAACGACGCGCCACCTCGTCCCACGGCGACACGGGAAAGTATTTCATCGTCGCGCCGCGTAATTCCGCCGGCCCTCCTGTAATCTTCTTCGCAAATAGCTCCATCTTCGTGCAATCACTTTTTAACTAGAAGCTACGGCCTGGCCAACTTTTCCTCGAGCATAGCCGCTGGTTAAGCAGCAACGCCGTCGAGATAGGGCGATTTGTCATCGATGCAATTTGTAACGGAAGTCCGCGGAGGATGAACTTGTCGTGGCGCTCAGCGAGGCATTTGTTGCGGCCTCGCAAGCTGTTGCGTCGCGGAACCAGGGCTCGGTAATTCCTCCCACCTCTGACTTCTTCATCCTTTTCTTCGCCTCTCATCCCTTTTTGTCCTACGTCACTAGACCATGCTTCTCTTTTCCGACGTAAATAGGACAATTCGTTTTTCTCACGGTGGGATTGGGGGTGTTGAAAATTGCCTCGACGTTGTTTAGAAGGGTCGTGGCCTCTTCTGAAGATCCTGTGATTTGCTTTCGAATTGGAGTTTCGAAGATTAGGGTTTATTTGATTTTTAGCTGGGCACGATTGGTTTTGTCTCTCTTCTCTTTTCGTTTTAGTGGTCGACTGAAAAGGGTAGTGGCGAGTTGCGTTTGATCTTCGACTAGGTATGATCATCGATTTTGTTTGCTTTCTTTATTTTGCTTGATAAGGGGAGATTGGCTGATACTAGAGTGTTGAGGAAATTGGGATTCAAAATTATATTAGAAATCTTGGGAGTCTCCTAAATATTTTTAAATAAATATTGTAATTATGTATAAAAATTGATTCTCGGAATTACAATGAAAATGTAATATCTGGGGTATACCTGGAACACAGTTGGCACTATGAAAGTTTAAAATTACGAGGATGCAGTTTCGTTTCTTTTTTATTTAATCCAAATAAAATAGAGTGATTATTTATTTCGATATTTTGCTACGAATTTCGAGAAACGATAAATTAATTTTATGAATTTGGAAATGGATCATCCCGGGGTTATTCTCGGTATGTTAATACCGTGATATCAAATTTCGTAGTCGAGAGGATCCTGGTGAAGGATGCAAGCCAGCGTTTCCGGTTTGAACTGTCAGCTGGCTCACGTTATGCGGATTATCTCGCTTTCCGCTTTACGTATCGCTGTTTCCTGGAAGTATTGCAGCTCGTAGATCCAATGCAATTGCCAGCGTGCAAATGCAACCCCCTTAATTCCCTTCGTTGATTAATATTTCGGCATAGGTATCTTCGGGCTGTGCGTGACACGCGTTACAGGAATTTCTCGTTCGCTGAAAAATCTCATTTCCATAGAACAGTCATAATTAACTGCTACGTGATCTTTTAAATTGGAATCGAGGCGACAGGAAAAGTTATTTTTCGAATTCGTTTTCCCCTCAATTTTATTAATATCTGTTATACGTTTTGGGTAACTCCAAAAATAGATACTATAAAACTAGTAATACCTATTAGCTTAGTAATCAGTATTAAATAACTACCAAGCACTTAAATTATTCTAGATGTATCTTAAAATATTTAAGAAGTATAATTTTGTAACTATAATTTAATGATTGCCTGTATCTCTGAATTGCAGGGACTACGCTACGAATCAGAAGCAAGCGGGATTAGTCTAATACCTGCGATAGCCTTCGTTTAACTGGATAAACGGCCACCATTGTGCACCACGAATCGTAACATCTAGAAACTGGACTCTAATTTTACTCAGTGTTCCGTGTGATCATCGTGAAATTTAATTGAACTCGAGCAAAGATGAAGTTTCGTTAATAAAAACGGATAAGACATTTTCTACTGACACCAGGTGCAAACCTCCTAACCAAAGATATGTAACGACACTTTGATCAACGATGGACATTCGACGCTCGTGGTCGATCGCCATGACTGCACAACCATTAAGGAAACCCCTGTATCATGCTGGCAATCACGTCAAAACACCTGCTTCTTGCAGAAGGTCCAATTTGGGGGTACATAGAGTGCACCTACTCTCCGTCAAAGAGCACCCTGAGTGATCAAATCAACGCTAAGAACTTCAAACATTCCTCCATTAGCCAAAACAAGCCAAGAATAAACATAAACAGAGACCTGTATACCCAATTAACCATTCCTGAGCTCTGAGAGACCCACTTTCTATTAGTCAACTTGCCACACCCATCAAACAAGCCTGAGATCCTCAAAGTCATCATAGTTGCAGCAAACTCTGTCAACACGCCATCGGTACAGCGTGTCACTGTGCACTAGAGTTAGTCAAAACTCTAACAGGAGGCAAGGAAGAGTCATGATCAGCGTGGCCAGGAGTCCTCCAGAGCCATGAGCGAGTAACGCAGTCGGGGAGCATCAGACACGTGGTCCACCATGTTGAACGTAATGGCAGCGGTGACGACAAGCCTACCCAGCCGAGTGGACCCAACCCCGACGTCTTCCAGCAACACCAGCACCCCATCGAGCACCGCGGCCAACAACGTGACCTCGGTCCCAGTGGGGAACCCCACGGTCGAGAACCTTTCCGAGAACGTGAACGTGTTCGTGGTAGTGATCAAGGGCATCATCATGGGCAGCATCATCACGACAGCAGTGCTGGGCAATGCACTGGTGATAGCCAGCGTTAGAAGACACAGAAGGTTGCGCGTGGTGACGAACTGTTACGTGGTCAGCCTGGCAGCGGCTGATCTCTTGGTGGCCATGTGCGCGATGACGTTCAATGCCTCGGCTGAGTTGTCCGGGGGAAAGTGGTTGTTCGGTCGGTTCATGTGTGACGTGTGGAACTCGTTGGACGTTTACTTCTCCACCGCCTCGATACTCCACTTGTGCTGCATCAGCGTGGACAGGTATTACGCCATCGTCAGCCCGCTCGAGTACACGGTGATCATGAGACAGGGCACGGTGGGGTGCATGCTGGGTAGCGCGTGGATCTTGCCGGCCCTTATCAGCTTCATACCGATCTTCTTGGGCTGGTACACTACGCAGGAGCATATGGACTACATGGTGAAGAATCCACAGGTGAGTTTGACCGATTCTTGAGCTTTTGATCATGAATACTTAAATTGACAACGTTTAGGTAGGTGGACCTGGTTTCGAAGTTGTTATATTCATTTACTGATTGTTATTCCGTATTTTAAGTGTCTGGCAAATAATTAGCAGTCTAATAGAATACAGATTCGATCGGTCACAGTGCGATAGGTGCATCTTCTCTAACACAGTCGTAGAGATTGGTCTGGGGAATTTTTGGCATTGGCTAGAACTGTCACGTCTGCAAATAGGATTAGTTTGCATCGCGTGACTATGCGAGTAACGGGGATACATCGAAAATATAATGAAATAAGTAGATAAAACATTGGCGTGTACAGTTCTGGGGTTTTACACCGTCCAATTATCATTCTATCATCTCGTACGATAATTTCACGCAGCACGTTTTGTTGTCCAACCGATTTGATCCCATTGTACAAGGTGACTTCCGGTTAATAACTAGATACCGTAACGTGTCTACTTAATAAGCGTTCTGACCTGCATACGAAATTGTGAATACCGACGATAATTCCTCAGGGATAAGAGGATTTGTGCAAGGCTTTTCAGCCATTTGCATACGCATGCGTTACGTGCAAATCGACCAATCACGTCCTTCGTGTGGTCCACGTAACTTGCACTATTGTTTCCTTGATTGGCTAATTTGGTTATGCATAACAGTCGATGCATCATGGGAACCACCGTCGTGGACGTCGTGGCCCATTGTGGATTTAGAAGTCGCCGCGATTGAATTTCCTACGCGAAAGAGCAATTGACACTTGCTTCCATTTATTCCGTGACTTGAGTTTCGTTGACATCGTGAAATTATAATTCTTTTTCGTTATTATATTGGAATTTTAAGAATTAGTCCGTGTTATAAGTTGAGGAAGATCAGGAACCACTGTTCCAGGTGAAAGTCACGCGAAAGACTCGCTGTACATTTAATTTTCCCTCCCCTGTTGTCCAAATAATCTCATTATATTTAACGGTGAAAATCGAAACGTAGCGTCGTTACTACGATGGAAATTGCATTACATAAATAGAATTATTCATTAATCTAATGGAACGATTCCCGTTCGTATCTGTCCCGTGATAAAAACGTCAAGTGTCCGTGTCTGTTTCGCTAGCTGGCTGGACAAATCCAATTTAAACGTATCTTCAGTCGGCTGTAATAAAAATAAACCGGCGTGACATCGAGGAGTCGATGCTCCATTTGCAGCTGGAGTATAATTGGACAAGGGAGTTGCTATTACCGGTATTAAACTGCAGTTCCAATCCTTTTTCTTAACGAGAGCTAGATTTTTGCAAATCCACGAACTCAAAGATTTCTGGCAACCAGACAGCATAGTGATACCTCTCACAATCTTAATCAAACAATTACAAATATTTCCGTAATTATCCTGGTAGCCATATGGACTGAAAAATAATTTAAGAAATAGCCACTAATTCTACAATATTTAGTGATATCAAATAAATATTAAATAATTATCTTCTTCGTCTAGAATAAAATTACTTTATTCCTGTTTACACTGAAATAGGTTATGGTTGCTCATGAATATTCGGTTATTAGGCCTGAAAAAATTCTATTCCCTCTATTTTTATTTCCTTTTTCAGTAAAACACACCGAAGAGAATAGAATTGTTTTACCATTTATCGTTTTCAGTGACACGACTTCGACGGAGTATATTTCATTCTCCGTACCTCACTAGCGCCACCACTGACACGATCTACTTCACGTTACTTGGTTTCGTTCTCACGCGCAAAGATAAAGACGGAAAAGTAACTGAAACTACCGTGAAATAAATTCACAAATATTTACCATTTATTTATATTTTTCCCAATCAAAAATTTCGAATTTCAAAAAGTTTTCACCAAAAAATTTGTTGGAGTTATTGGTCCATAGAATCGAAAAATTCCACGACCAAATTGGGTAGCGATATTTTGTAACGAAGTTGCACGAAATGTAGTCAATTTTATAGGTCGATTAGCAAGGTTGGAAATGGCGAGTTTCTTCCAATTGATCCAAACGTCAAGCATGATCGGCTTGCCTGGCTCTGTTATTCTGCGGCTTAAATGCAAGTTAACAGCGATATGATACATTGCTTTGAAATGAAGTTTACGTAAGCGCGAGGAAAGGTTTCATCTCATTATGAGGGAGGTTTAATATAAATTCTGCATGCACGACAGAATTTCAACTGCGTTGCAAAATTGAATTAAAAATCGCGTTTCGCCCTCGGCTAAAATCGAAATTCGATTATCGAACGATTTTCTTCGATTATTACGCTCGCCAGTCGCGCTTCGTCATTCGCCAGTGATTCTATACTCGGGTTCCGATTTATCAACGTCGAAATCCTGATTTAAGATCTTCCCTGGTTAAATAGAGGAATTTTATATTTTCGCGATCGCGAGGAGAATTAAATTGGAAACCCGTATTTATGAACCGTGAAACGGTCGCCACGATTCGCGTAGAAACGTGTCACTGATTTTTATAAGCTGTTAAATCATGTGTCGGGCCGCTCATGTGATAACGGCCTTCGTTAAAATGTGGACGGACGTAAAATCGAATTGGTCTGCGATTGGAAGCTAACAATTCTGGAGAACAGTCTCGTAAACTGTGCCAATTATTAAGTAGCTTCTTGACTGGGGCGGTACACAATGAAACAATTTCAAAATTGAAAATCCTATAATTTGTATCTCAACTTGAGGTATATGAACTTGATAAAATTGGAACGAAATGGTGAAAAGTTAGAGTAGTCAATTATATCGTATATATATATGAGGTGTTATTATTAATTATTACCAAGTATATTAATTATCATTAACATTAAACTTACCACGTCCGTTTAACAGTACAAGAGATGGAGAAATGGAGGGAGAGAAACTTAAAAAAAAAGATAGAAAAAATTAAAAAATTCATATGTATCGTATAAAAAAAAAAATGAAAATACCAAATGATCATGATGATAATATCGAATACAGAATTTTTAATCATAAATTTAAAATTGGTTTTTTAAATTGAGGTTAGTTAATTATTATATATATATATATGGTTAAATATTAACTTGATAAAATTGGAACGAAATGGTGAAAAGTTAGAGTAGTCAATTATATCGTATATATATATGAGGTGTTATTATTAATTATTACCAAGTATATTAATTATCATTAACATTAAACTTACCACGTCCGTTTAACAGTACAAGAGATGGAGAAATGGAGGGAGAGAAACTTAAAAAAAAAGATAGAAAAAATTAAAAAATTCATATGTATCGTATAAAAAAAAAAATGAAAATACCAAATGATCATGATGATAATATCGAATACAGAATTTTTAATCATAAATTTAAAATTGGTTTTTTAAATTGAGGTTAGTTAATTATTATATATATATGGTTAAATATTACTATATATATTATTATATGTTCTTATATGTCATATTATTGTATATATTATTATATGTTATTATATGTAATATTATTATGTATAATAATTTATTACAAATAATAATTAATTAACATAACAATTATGTATATAATAGTATTATGTATTACTATATATATTATGATATATATGGTTGAATATTATTAATGACATTAATTAAAGTTAATTATTACATCTCTGGTAATAATATTATTAACTTACGGTCTCCACAAGCTATAAATATCAGAAGTCTTCCTAGACTCATAAATAGTAGCCACGTTACCACTTACATCACGGTCTGAAAATTTGGGATCGCATTTCCCACGCTAAATTTCTCGTTAATTTTGGCATGAATTAAACAGCGAAACCTTCGCTTGGCTTCCGACTAAAGTGTTTTCCGAAGTTGCAAAATTCACAGCTGGCTGCTTCTTCAATTTCTGACTGCCACGGACACCCAGTAACATCAAACTTTTGATCAGTGATCTCAGTATATATATATATATATATATACTTAACAGCAACGTAACGATGCATTTAAGATAGGTGATCCCTGATTAAATACCTTACCATCTCGAGGATATTGGCAGGTCGGGGTATCGAGTTAACTCGTCTTTCCCAGTTAATAGGTTAATAGGCTGTGGTACGTAATGTATCCCGCTCGTCATCCCTCGGGAGCTGCTCCTCTAGGGAGCAGAACGGTGATTACAAGACATAGTAGGAAGCTTCAATCCTCGCGAGTCCCTCTAGCCTACAGCGACACAAGGTACCGAGAACTCGCGAATCATCGTCACTTTTTCACCTGAAATTCACGGTCTGTATCACCGAGGCGGGTCTGAATGTTTGACGAGTCCTCGATGAGGCTCCTTCACTGTGTAATCCTTTCAAACGCGGTTCCACTCGACTGGGCTATCCGTGAAAGAACCCACACCTGCGCAGGGATCTTTATTCCGGCTTGCACTGAAACACGCGAACGAAATCTCCCCAAAATCCTGCCATTCACGTGGAACCTCAGGTGCCGCGGCTCTGAACGCTGGCTGGCAACTATGCTTTGTCCTGCGTGGCGAAATCGCGTATCGATCAGCGTAAAATTGCCAGCCTGGAGGGAATGACACGAAGTATCCTTGTCGTTGCAGGTCTGCTCCTTTGTAGTGAATCGGGCCTACGCCGTGATCAGCTCGTGCGTCTCCTTCTGGATCCCAGGCCTGGTGATGATAGTGATGTACTGCAAGATCTACAAGGAGGCGGTGAGACAGAGGAAGGCGCTCAGCAGGACGTCCAGCAACATCGTGCTGAACAGCGTGCATCATCACAGGTCCTCGACCAGGCAACACCACCATCAGCAGATGCTTCTTCAAGCGGCCGCCGAAACCGGTGAGTCTGAACATTTACACGTAGAACGTTCCAGGTCTGAGCAACGCTGGTTCCGTCATTCCATTGGCTGGGTAGGAACATCTGCACGACGCTGTCTTTGCGAAGTCATTCCTCCCGGGACAGTCTCGGGAGCTGTCTTGTTTCCCCTTCTGGCTGACGTTGAAACCCAGATGTTTTCCAACTGCTAGAAAATAATAGGATTTCTCCTGAGACGCTAGGTCAGATAGGCGTCTTTGAGGAAGAAGTCTTTTGGAGAGTAACGAGGTGAATTATGGTCGTTACAGGGTGGATTGAAGACTTCTGGGAGTAATTGACGTACGTTGTTCGAATGATACAGGTCTTGTTCAGGTACTTTGTCTTCATGGAGGAAGGTTATAGCTGGAGGAGATACTTAGGGATTCTTTGGTACTGCAGGTGTACGCGACTCCCTGGTACAACGATGATCGCTGATTTCATGTCAGTTATTACTGGTATTGGTTACAAATTGATACGTATCGTTAAATTTAAAGTAGGGTTTCTCTTGGGAAGATAAGACAGACAGGGCTTGGCGTTTTGGAGATGCATTTCAGAGAGGAAGAGCGAACCTTTCCGGCGAATAACGAGATGAGCAGTGGTTGTTAGGCAAGTGTATTATGGAGATTTCCGACGCATAATTGACGTGCGTTGTTCGAACAATATAGGTCTCGTTTATTCCGTTTCTATCGGCAAAGCTGGTACCTGAACGAGCTAGATAGAGCTCCTACGCTGTTGTTAACCACTACAGCCTTTTAATATAACGATGAACACTGTTTTTATTTGCGATATTAGTTACAAATCTGTACACACTGTTAAATTTAACAGAGAATTTCTCTTTGGGAGAGAGAATAGACAGGGCTTGACGTTTCGGAGAAGACGTATTTCGAAGAGGAAGCGTGACGTCTTTTGGGGAGTAATGAGATGAACAGTGATTGTTATGGAAACGTATTATATGAGGATGTAGAAATTTCTCGCTCCTAATTGACGTATATATATACATACGTCTTTCAAACGATGCAGGTCTTGCATATTTCACGTCTATCGGTGAAGCTGATAGCTAGCAAAGCTGAATAGGATCCTTTGCTATTGTAAGCATATACCAACATTTAATAGAACGATGTTCATTGTGTCATTCATCATTATGCAAATTATTCTTTTCAAGTCTCTCTAATAATTAGATCAATTATTCATTTGCATATCCTGGACTATTCATTCAGAGATTATGCTTTTACATTGTAACTTTTCTATTTCATAGTTTCACCTTATATATTGGCTAAAATACTGATTGTATTCTTGCAAATGTGACGCAACGAGAATGTACATACATACGTCAATGTACACAGGTAATTTTCTGCAAAATTTTCTTAAAAAATTATTCGCAAAATAATTTTCTTTTTATTCTTTGGATAATTTCGAATTATAGTGCGAGGTTCTTGGACCAGGTTCGAAACTGATATTTGATCCGGTGTGATAAATAGGTTCCGATATTGTTCGGCTGGCGAAGGAGGTATATCGGTTTTCTTTTCGCAAACTTCGCTCCGTTGTCAAAGTTTTAAACGAGTTTTCGTCGAGGAAGGGTAATTATTGTTTCAGTTTCCATAGAGCGATTAAACCGATTGAAGTATTTAAAATTGCCCCAAGTACCCGAAGGCTTTTCAGGAGCTTTCGCTTGGAAAACAAGCGATTTTATACGCAACCTTCGCCTTCGATACATTTTAAAGCGTAATTAAATTTCAGCCACACGCACACCGGCGTAATTGCACCTTACCTTTAAACCAAACACCTCCAGTTTGTCATTTGCAGGAGTGCGAGACATTTCTTGCACGATTAGGAGACATAATTAAAGCACGGAGCACTAGTCGACTAGGATTTGTCTTATTTCAACCGGATAATGGGAAACGAAACACCGAAACCCACTCCAACCCTCTCCCACCCTCTTCAACGAAATCCAAATTTCTCATAATTATACGAAGTTGATACGAATATTTAATTCACGACCGGTTTTATCGACGTTTCTTCGAGTTATTACGCGTGAAATCTAAAAAGAATTTCCAGAAATCGAATATCGAATGCGCGATTTATTGATCCAACGACCGTAATTTATTAGAAATGTCTCGAGTGGCCTGTCAAATTTTGTTCCATCGATTGATTAATTTTCGGTCCCGATAATTGGCCGATATCGAACGGAAATATTCATGGAACACGGAAGAAGTGTTCGACGATGGGCGAGAAAAGAAAAGAAAATGGCGCGAGTGTTAATTAAAATTGATTACAAAGTCTCACGTGGCGCAGGGTTCCCGCGGAATTTCATCGCCTGACCTCGATGCAAGGATTTTTATTGAAGGGTTAATTAAAGACACGGCAGTCGCTTAATACTTCCGGTCAGTTGGTCTTCCTTTTTTCAAAATTTTCCGTCAATCGCCTGTCACCGTTTTTCTCTATTTCTTCTCTTTCTGTCATTTTCCAGAGTGCAATTTTTATCGCTTGTCAATGATGCAATTGATTTATGAAATTTTTTATTTTTATAGGGTTTCTAATGGTGAATGTGTAATAGTTGAAAGTGGGGGGTTAAACAGAATTTTTGTCTGAGATGGATTTATATTATTTATTTTTGAATACAAATAAGTCATAAAATTTTGTTTCTTCTTTTCATAATTGGTACAGAAAGAAGGAGTAATAATTTCGAAAATAGTAAGATATTTTTAGAGAAGAATTTTATAGTTCTTCTATCATACAGTAATATAATAAAATGCGTGGAAATTTGTCCTAAATTCACGTTAAAATATTAATTAACAAAAGGAGTATTCTGTTAATAATAAATACATATTTAGGGTGGGTATAACGAATAATAATTATTGTCCATATTAAATTTAAAGTTAGCTAATAAAAACTTCATTTTCGCTGATTAAAGACAGCTAAATATTTCCGCTGCAATTACGAAATTTTTCAGAAGGAATAATTTTCATTCGTTTAATAATTGCACTATTTAATAACTAAAAAAATATTCGCGCAGATGCATATTAAATTTCTATTAAAATATTAATTTGATAAAAGGGTATTTTATTAGCAACGAATTTGAAGAAGGATGTGACGAGTACCAATTACCATTCGCAATAAACCGAAAATTAGTGTTGATAAACGCTCCACTTTGGGAGCGAATAAAAGCTGCATCCTTCGGCTTAAAAATAAATGAAAATTGCAGGAGGAAATACGGGCCCAGTCGTAAAATCGTGGACAATATTTACGAGAAAATGACTATCCTCTACGCGGCTATTTTAATACATTTCGACGTGGATCCTGTACGATCGATTTGCCAGTAAATTGGCTATATTATGCTGCTCGAGAAGTTACGCGAAATTCTGCACTCGGGGGTAATTGTTTTTGGCCAGTAAGCAAACAGAGTCGTGCCACTGAATTCAGCACATTCGACCATGCGACGAGAAAAAATATTTCGTTAAAAACTTCGGGCACGAGCACCGGTACATAACTTTTCAGGTTTGTTTAACTACGCGAAAAATATAGTTTATTCGCAGTTCATGTATCAAGGGACGAAATGAAACTATTACGCACGTTCCTGCATAATTCGCCTTTTCTTTTCCCGTTATTACTTCGCGAGGCTCGAAACTCGAATCGCGCAATTTTTATAAATTGCAATTTGTATAAATGGGAAATAAATATTTGCAATTTTGCGCGGAAAGTTTGCTTGCGGAATATTACGGTGATGTGCGTGCTTTTTATTTATTTATTTCGCAGTGAAAATTTAGTTACGCTATCGGAGTTTCCATGGTGAATGTAATTTTCGGAATTGGGGCCATTGTGCTTCACGAGCTTGATTTTCTATTTACTCGCCGCCACGAATGTATTGTCGTATGTACAGAAATAAAATATTGCGTGTAAACGTTGTTACAAATAATATTACATCTTATGCCATGACACGTGTATTCTGTTACAGTAACGTAGTAAATTATTGTCAGGTAGAAATCGGTATAATAATTATTCTTAACGAGAGAATATTTAATTTCGCAAGAATATTTTTTAACGTCGCAAAAGAAACAGAGGGGAGTAATTTGTGTATTGTAAATTGCGTTATAAATATTATAAGTACCAGGACGATGGTACTTAGAAGCCTTAATACAGCCCTGAAATCTTCTCTGTGGCAGAATTAAATAAGAGGAGTATTAATTACGATATCACGAGAAAGAAAACAAACAAGTGACAGGAAAATCGAAAAACAGCAAAAAAGTATGATTTAAAAAAGAAAAATACAAACAGAATGTTATTTAACAGGCTTTAGAACCGGTATAGTGCCTCGGTAATTAAAATCCCGCCATTTTATACCGTCCACAATATTCCTGTGATATATATCACGAGTAGAAACAGTCTGAATAAAACTCGATTGAAAGAGTAGCTGAACACCTATTTTCGCGAAATATACGACGTAATCCGTGGTGGAGCGTCTCAAAGAGCTTTGGTTTCCGGTTGGTGAACAACGCTGACGCGACAGCGACGTAAAATGGCGGCCGCCGGAAACTGCGTTTTCTTCGGCATCCATGACGGGGGGCCTGTGTTCTGCGCGTTGGTATTACCGCTTAATGAGATAAGAGGATTTCGCGGGAGCATTCACCGCTTCCTTTTTCGTTCTTCCAGCGCCTGCAATGGCGGTACAAGGTTAGAAAGAATCGCGATCGGGCCGGCGGATATTAGCGGACGAGGAGCTGCATGGACGAAGACCACGATGACACGCGATTCGTAAGACGATTAAGGGGCGAAAGAAGGATTACTTCTTGTGTAATCGAATTAGAACGCGTCGATAGTGTATGCAAGGAGTTCCATGGGTCTTCCTTTTGTCTGTCCTTTTTCCTCTTTTCAGAGAAACTTTTTCGGGCTAATCCTTGTTTGGGTAAATACAATGATGTAATATGTACCAAGTGAATTATATTTATTATATATGTATATATATTTATTATTATATTTATTATATGTTATATATATACTAATTATTATATTTAGTACTATATTATATAAATATTTATTATATTTTAT